GGTATCGGCTTGAATATGTCGCGTGTATACCACGATATTACTAGCTTAACAGGGACACCTACTATCCGTCATTTTCAACGCACAAGAATACGTAATTCTGTATCGATCAGCGGGAACACGGAATAAAACATTATCTCCTTTGTCAGATCCCATGAAATGTTAGTATCCCATTCGATATAAGCGAACAATTAGTACCTCTGCACGGACTCGTTTTACATACGTTATATTGACATACGCTTGACCACAAGCGTATAACTGCATATCATAATTTGTACCACGGTATAAATTTCGGGTCAAAATGGTAACACAGAAGACATTTAGTAACTTAAAGAACTGTACTCGTTAATACACGAGTGCCTAAATAAGGCAATTTAATGCGTGGTAATTCAACGCGCGGCAATATAACGAGAGGCAATGCAACGCGTCGTAATTCAACTCCTAGAAATATAAGGCGTGAAAATTTCGGTGTGTGGCAATATAACGCGTGGCAATTCAACGCGCGGCGATATAACGCGAGGGAATACAATACGTGAAAAATCCGGCGCGTGGCAATATACCGCGTGGAAATATAGTGCGTGGAAATTCCGGCGTGAGGCAATATAACGCGTGGAAATATAATTCGTGAAAATTTCAATGCGTGGCAATATAACGCGTGGAAATATAATACGTGAAAATTGCAGCGCGTCGCGTGGAAATATAATTTGTGAAAATTTCAATGCGTGGCAATATAACGCGTGGAAATATAGTGCGTGAAAATTCCGGCGCGTGGCAATATAACGCGTGGAAATATAATTCGTGAAAATTTCAGCGCGTGGCAATATAACGCGTGGAAATATAATGCGTGAAAATTCCGGCGCGTGGCAATATAACGCGTGGAAGTATAACACGTGAAAATTCCAGCGCGTGGTAATATAACGCGTGGAAATATTGTGTGTAAAAATTTCAGCGCGTGGCAATATAACGCGTGGAAATATAATGCGTGAAAATTGCAGCGCGTGGCAATATAACGCGTGGAAATATAATGCATGAAAATTTCAACGCGTGGCAATGTAACGCATGGTAATTCAACGCGTGAAAATTCAGTGCATGGCAATATAACGCGTAGTAATTCAACGTATAGAATTTTATAATTCGTAGTAATTCACCGAATTTACATATACGTACATATACCTACGATGAATTTAGGAGCACAAATGCGACACAGCGAATTAGATAAAGAAGTTTAAAAGGGTCCACACACAACATACAGGGCGGTTTCCTTCCCAGGAATTATGGTCCCTGGCCGTGTGTGGGCTGACCCCTCCGGTGTTCTCGTCGTCGCACGGAAGTTCACCATTAAAACAGCTGGATCGAGCCAGATCTCGCGAGACGAATCTAGCCAGTCTTCACTGTCACGGGTCTGACCTCGAGTCGGATATCCTTCGTGTGTAGACACGAGTAATCCTTGAGACACGAGGGGATTCAACGTCTAATAAAACGAGCTCACACTCCTGCGGGATCTGTTCCCTTTGGAAAGCTCGCGCCCTGGGAGACAAGAAACTCATAACGGGAAGCCAGAAGGCAAACTTGCGAAGTCGTGTATGATTCAACGTCAATTCCTTCGGGTCATCATTCATATAGTTATCCACTCTAAAATTAACTGGGAAGAAAACTTTAACTAGAAGAATTATTGTATGCAAAATTATTGAGCGAAATGGTAAGCTGTAATAATATAGATTATACTATTGATCTGTTTTTATTTGATAAACAGATATGGCAATAAGATTTCAGTATCGATCTTTTACGTATCTCTAGAGCAAAGTAAACGGTAGATAAAATGTGTTTGATTGCGTACAGATAGTATTTGTGCAATAACTGTATCGGTATACTAACATTAGCAGTATGTTTCATAAATTAAATTTGTATTTAAATACACGTCATTTGGCCGAGTGCCACGAACGCGCCAATATTGCGCCATCTTCCGATCAATGTACTACTATAATGTCCCGCCGAAAAGGGAAACCAGTGACGTGAAACGTTACGATATTATCGCTCGAGTATAGATACTTGAAATTTCTTAATGACGTTGTTATCACGGTAGATGACACACTTTCGAATCTAGCCACCATTTCATTATTTCTAATTATTTTCGTGGCTGGAATGAGGGACCCTGAAATCGAGGTCAACTGAAAGCTTCCGCTCGATTGACGCTTCATGTAAACAGGATTTCGCGTAACCGGAATCCAAATAAATCGAAGCGTCCATTGAAAGTTTCGCGAAAATACGTAACGTTAAAAGCACCGAATAGCGAAACTATCAAAATCGATAAGGCTTCGATCTATTTTTTGAGATGACCACAGCGTAAAAATAGCTCATTAGAATCCAAACATATTCTGATATTTCAAGCTTTCGACGGATTTCGCGTGATGACGTCAGCGACATCTGATGACGAAACTATCATCGCTATAACCTCAAAATTTAACACTACGAAATTGTACAAGTAGTAAAATGCGTGAAAAACTGAACGCATGTTATTGAAAAGGATGACAGTCGACGTTGGACAACTAAAAGAGAAATTGCACGAGGAAATACAATGGAAACGTGTTCACGGCCCCCTGACACACATCGACTCGTTAAAATAACGACATAATGGCTAATTTAGCGATAATAAGCGCGAACCGTATCGTTCAAATTAGTGTCGAAGGTGAGACGAGAACGACAAAGAGGAACGTTTGAAGGAAAAAAAGGAGAAGAGACTAGCGTGTCACAACTTACTGCCCAACTTCTGATATCCATCTGTCGCCATCTTGTGGCCACTTTACGAAACGCTTTTCAAGTCAGGGCCGTGCATTGATCTTTCAACCGCTTCTAACCTTTGCAATACACTTCAACTAAATTTCACGGTCTAATCAAACATAAAACACGTTAAACTCTTGTTATTTAAATATTTTTATCATACTATTATCTCATTTTTAAATAAATCAAAATAATGAAAATACTTGACAAGTAAAAAAAATGTATAATTCCCTAAATTCTTAAAATTCAAAAATTTTCAAACTGAAGTTTGTAAATTCCCAAATATTTAATTCCTAAATTCCTAAATTTAAAAATAGAAAAACCAGAAAATTTTATAACAGAAAAACCAGAAAATTTCATAATAGAAAAATTAAAAAATTAAGAAACTTGAAAAAATTTAAATTGCAATGAGGGTTTTCGTCCCGGGAGTAGTAAACCAAAATGGCGGCGCTGACCGTTAACATAAATTCCACAAGTGAAAGAAAATGCGATAAATAGATGAAAGATAGAATTTCCCTGCGAAGAAAACGATCAGCATCGTTGGAGATCAACGACCTTCGACAAAAACATTCACAATAGTCAAGGAAGCAATTGTAGAAGCGTACCTTTTAATGAGCGAAACGATCTCAATCGCGTTTTGTATTGCTCATTTTTTCTTTGAGGTCACGTAACAAAGAGGTTCACACGGCTAATCGGCATTGTCGCGGTCGTTTTCAAAAGGGGTTCAATTTTCTCTATTGCGGCTTTCATTAAGGGGACTACCCTTGTATCTTCGGAATTTAGGTCGAATGTATTACATAAAAATAAGACTGTTTTCGTGACGACGAATGGCGTGTTGCCAATGAAAAAACAAACTCGTTGAAATGTAGTCGGAGGACCATAAAAATATTCCGAATAAGGAAAAAGTTAAACTAATGATAATGCATATCGCATTTGGGTTCATCATAATACTAATTATCGCATAATTAAAAATAAGTTGTCATTTGGTTAGGTTAAGGTTAGATTACCCTTGGTCGAGATAGGTTAGGTCGGAGATAAATGGGCGCTGTACAGGTTAGGTTATATCAGGTCAAATTTAGGTTAAGTACCTAACTAATTAGGATTTAAATTTATGAGTCACCACACTAATTACAATTATTGTATTTTCTACGTTATAATTTCTGTATCAGTTTACAATTTCAAATATAAAATAAAGTTGAACTATAGATTAGTACGCGTTATTAATTCGTTTGCAGTGGAATTTTTAAAGGAACTAAACGGGAATGGTAGATAAGCATTATCGCAAACTGTACACTATAACGAGAAGTGACACACTGATCCAAGAGCGTGACAAATTTATTTTTCTACGCATATTATGAATGAAGTTGAATTTCGCATGCTTTCCGTTTACGACTGCTGTCATTGAAATCTGTGGTTCATTGGAAAAAAATTGTAAGCGATGTTTGCTTCCGTTGACGCAATAAAATCATATAATTTTCCATAGCGAATTGAACGACATATATAAGTCAATTGTAATCCGATACGATATAAGATACCCTCGGGTAATATTATTAATACGTAGGAAACATATGTACGGTCGCTTAATGTACACCAACAAGATCCCTAAGCGACAAAACAACAAGCACGTATTGCATAGTCAAAGCCACGTGCATATTATTTTCCCGAAGGGAGAGAGAGAAATCGATCTATCAAATGCTGGATATCAGATCAAATTTCTTTTTTTTCAAGGACAACTCACGATTCTTTACTGATGCAATTACAACCATGACGCTTCCTTTATCACAAACTTATCCGAACAAACCTGTTTGCGAACGGTCAACGGAAAAGTCAACCTCAAGTAGTTACACAATCTTTATCTTAATAAAAATAAAACATCTATATATAATACGATGTAATATACTTTACTACTTTGTACGAACGTCTTATCTCAACGTTTGAATGTTAAGAATTTAATGATAAAAAACCAATAAAACGAAAGTTATCTATGTGAAGGGCGTGGTTTACCGGACAATATGACGTTCCTGTATGAAACACGACGCGTGGCTTGCCGCGAACCGAACGCGTCAGCGGCGATCGAGAATTCGATCAAGTAATCGATAACATTGAAAGATCGCGCGCGACGCGCTCGATTCAAGCGTTCCTCGCACAGCTGTTTTACGGTTACATCGTCGTCGAATCCATGTCGAAGATGTATAGAAATAGAAACAACAAAAAATGTTACTGACCTCGGTCGCTAGCTTCCCTTTGGACGCCATCTTGACAACAACAATGGCCGCCGGTCGACGTTCCGACTACCTGCTGCACGCACGCTACACTTACGATCACCAACGAACTTTATCGCGAATATCCACGGTAATTACGGAGTTCGATGCCGGCAAAGCACACGCGCACGGTTCGTACGCGTTCACTCGCGAGAGAGAACGAACAAATATCGGTCGCGATCACGGTTTCGAAAACGATTCTTCACGCGGCCGGACCGAAATACACGTTGACGTCACGGCACGAAGCTTCTTTTCGTACTAAACGTACTATGAGGACTACGAGTTTACGAGCGACACGAAGGCACCCCGGCTCATCACAATTCTTCCCCCACCATTTTAACCGGCCGAACAAGTCCCTTTCACTCGCTCGCTCGATAATTATTATACGGTTACTTGCCCCCTCTCTTTCTTGCTTCGACACGTTTATATTCTTTCTCTATCGTATTTTCGCGCGAACGACACTCGCGACGCCCGTCTCATTCTCAATAACATTTCTTCGTCCCTCTTCGTGGCACGCTACCGGCATCCGAAGCGGCACGAAACGTTATCACTGACATTTTACCTTCTTCCAATCGCGATTACGAAAGCTATTCGAGATTTCTCCGCTTGCAGCATTTCCTCGTTCATTAACTAACTAGTCAATTTACGAGAGTTGAGGTTAGGTGTCACTCACTCGGGGACAATCGTTGCGTCACACTCTCTTTCTTTCTCTCGGTCGAGGATCCACCGGGAGCGAAGGGAGACCCGGCTTAATTCAAAGTGAATTAACCTTCCTGCACGGTTTTGCCCTCGCTGAACTCGCTTAGTTCAGCACGATCAAATGTCACGTACTTTCGATGAATTTCGAATCGCAGAAAAACGCGCCGACCTACTGCGCATGCGCGCGCACTTTCGAAGCAAACGTTCGAACTGCTGCATCGATAATCGATTTATTCGATAAATCAATGAAATTAATTTTAAATAACATAGAATATATAAAATATATTCTATTATTACATATAAAATTTTTAATTATGTAATTTATTCATTTATTAGCATATTCTAATAATTCATTAGTAAATTCTTTTTAAATATTAATACCACTATGGTCAATACTTTTTGTATATATAATCAACTGCAAATTTATTAAGATAATATCTGCGTTATATTTATGTTTTGTTATTTTTTATTTTAGCTTAATATTTTTTTTAAATATTAATACCGGTATGGTTAATTTTTTTTTATTTATAATTATAAATCAACTGCAAATTTATTAAGATAATATCTGCGTTGTATTTATGTTTGTTATTTTTTATTTCAGCTTAATGGAGACGCAGTGTCGAAGTTAACTGTACGACATCGCCCGCGACCTGTTTATTTTCGGGCCGATTTGTATGCGAGGCACGCCCAGCTCCGGAATCATTATTGGCACATGGACTTCGTCTAGAATCGGTATTACATACGCGTGCCATAAAAAAGAAAAGTAGAAGACACGGATGGGTGTTGTCGAGACAGGGAGGTCGGAGGAAAAAGGAATATACACGAAGAAAAATGCCAGTCCTGTATAGCCTTGCGTGGGTCGGCAAATCCATTTGGTGCTCGTCCCCGTTCCACAGAGCGGAACCAGCGATGGCTACAAAACGGAAACAACCATAGAACTTTCGTCCCTTCATGAACGTACGAACAGTACATGTACGCGTGTGCATACGCACTTCGTCTGATATAGTAATGTCAAGGACGAATGTTGGCCAATCGGTCAAGCTGACAAATTTGTAAACAGCTCTCCCGAGGTATACTCCCTTCGCACAAGAATGAACTGCGAGTTTGTGTACCTTGGGAACGGTCAATCAACTAATTCGATCAGATTAAATGGATGTACGCTAGTCCGAACACCGTTTAGGATACGAATGGAAGTTTTGAAACGAAAACGTTTGTAGCCGATCAGAAATTTTATTTCACGTGGATGACTAAGAAAAATCTTTCCTACTCTTGAACATATTCATGCGAAAACCTAGTATGTTTCGACCTCTTGACAACCATAGTTGCAGCGTTAAAAAAAATGTAGCACATAATTTATATTTGTGTAACGGAGTATATTATAGTCTCTCGTTTCCTGTTGATACTTTTTCATTAATTAACGTTCCGCGTTCATAAATCATAAAGCGAAGGGAGAAATAATTGACTAAAACCGGGAGTAAAATTTCTGATGAAATTATCTGGTGTGATTATAAATGTTCGATAAATATTCATTAGAGTGAGCTTGCATCACAGCGTTATTTATCGATGCAATTTTGCCTCGATATTTCATAAGAGAACCGATGACAATTTATATTTCAATCGGTGCAAAGACTGGTTTAGATATGATCTACTTTTATACTTTTTATGATGAACATTTGTTATAAATAAAATTTTTATTGTATGTGAGAATAATTTATTTTACCTTGTTTAATGTTTGTAATGTATGTGATGTATGTACAGTATGTGTGTGATGTATGTGTTGTATGTGTATGATGTACGTATAGTATGTATGTGATATATGTGTAGTATGTATATGATGTATGTTTAGTATGTGTGTGATGTATGTGTAGTATATGTATGATGTATGTTTAGTATGTGTGTGATGTATGTGTAGTATGTGTGTAATGTATGTACAGTATGTGTGTGATGTATGTGTAGTACATGTATGATGTATGTGTAGTACATGTATGATGTATGTGTAGTATGTGTGTGATGTGCAAAGTATGTGATGAATATGGTAACAAAAAATAAAATTGATGTAATCTTGCAAATGTGTAGAGAACAAAAATTGTGAAAAGTGCTAAGTATTTAAAAATGACGTTGCATAATAAATTTGTTAAACATTAATGTCATGTAGAATTTTGCAATAGAATAAAACGAAGAGTAAATCGGTGATCTTTACTGAGACATGAAATTGAAAGGGTCTGAAATATGATCATTTAGATCGGAAAGCTATTATTGTTCGCGTTAAAAGCGAGTTCAAAGGTGTCGCTAGATATCTTCGGAGCGATGCGACCGGGTCGATCGTTGTGCAGGGATGTGGGTCAGGCATACGCCCGAACCCCCTGGATTTTCATCTCGTCCCTTTCTCCAGCAAACATACGTATGTAGCACGTAATTTTGACGTAAGATCGCTCATCCCTTTCTCCATTGAAATTCATCCCTTACCTTGCGATGTCACGAAATAAATATTAAAGGTTCACCCTTAGAAACTCATCGATTCCAGAATGCATCATTGTATTACTTTTACTGGTAACTTCTTAAGAGTCAAATTTCGAGATATGTTTATGCAAATATATTGCTATAGAAAATTGACATATACAAGGATTCATGTTTAGGGAGTTAGTAGATGAAACATTGACTAATATGTTGGGATATACATTTGCATATGTATTACATATGTATATGTATATGCACATATGTTTATACATATGCATGTGTGCAACATAAAATTATATTATATTCACACATATGTTTCATAAACTTATACATGTACATATACATGTACATATACATGTACATATGTTTATACATATGCATGTGAACAACATAAAATTAGATTATATTCACACATATGTTTCATAAGCTTGTACATGTACATATACATATGCATGTGTTCAACATAAAATAATATTATATTCACACATATGTTTCATATGCTTGTACATGTACATATACATGTACATATGTTTATACATATACATGTGTACAACATAAAATTATATTACATTCACACATATGTTTCATAAACTTATACATGTACATATACATATGCATGTGTACAACATAAAATTATATTATATTCACATATGTTTCATAAACTAATGTACAAAATGAAGGCAGTAGAACAAGTTTAAATTCTAATATTACGTACATTGAAGTGAAATATCATTTATCATGATACATTAATAGAATGTATCATAGTCGATACAGCTGGTTAACTTTGAGAAACACGAAATTTTTCAGCCCGTTTGCTAAAAAGGACATCTGCGAATGTTCGATAATGAAGAGTGGAATAAATTGTCCACGAGGAAACAGAGACAATAAAACTTAACCGGTCAATAAAATTTAATGCTTTATGAAACAATTATACGTTATACAATGAATGTCATGTCGCCAATCGAAGTGGTCCTTTGTACAGCTTAGTCGACAACTTTAGCAGGGATTCTGATACACGCCTGGGACTGCGATCGTTCGTCAAGCAGAGAAAGTTGGATCGTCAAAGAAACTTTAGGGTAGCTCTTCTCAATGGGCATCTTAAGTTTGTAGACAGCAACTTCGCCCTTTTCCAATGGGCATCTTGAGCTTTCCAAATCCATGCAAGCGTTCTGTTGTGGCAGGGGATATTTCACGTGGATTTTGCCCAGCTCAACGTCCACATCGGGTTTCAGGGATTTCGTGTTCTGCGCTGTAATGTTATACGGTTCGTTTGTAACTTCTGCGAATTTCGCTCAGAGATAATCGTTCGATTAGTGTTGTAACGGGACGGAGAAATTGGAGACGTATAATATTGGATGTTTTAGGTATCTTGCGGAATAGAGGAAGTTTTCAATTTTGAGGGGAGAGATGAAGCTGTGTTGTAGATTTCTAAGTTTCAAGTCTCTAAATTTCTCAAGTTCCTAAATTCTCAAAGTCCAAGTTTCTAAGTTACAAAATACACAGATCTCAAATTCCCAAAATTCTATAGTTTTAAGTTTCCAAATTCTCAAGATTCCAACTGTCAAAATTTCTAAGCTTCCAAATTCCCAAATCCTCTAATTACCAAGTCCTCGAATTCCCAAATTCCCAAAGTTCTATAGTTTTAAGTTTCCAAATTCTCAAGATTCCAACTGTCAAAATTTCTAAGCTTCCAAATTCCCAAATCCTCTAATTACCAAGTCCTCAAATTCCCAAATCCCCAAAATTCTATAGTTTTAAGTTTCCAAATTCTCAAGATTCCAACTGTCAAAATTTCTAAGCTTCCAAATTCCCAAATCCTCTAATTACCAAGTCCTCAAATTCCCAAATCCTCTAATTACCAAGTCCTCAAATTCCCAAATCCTCTAATCACCAAGTCCTCAAATTCCCAAATCTCCAAATTTCCATATTACTGAATTTTTAAATCCCAAATTTTCAAATTTCTAAAAGTCCACTTCTCGGAACCCCTACCTCTAAATCCCTAAACCCATAAATCCCCTCCCTCTAAATCCCTAAATTCCCAAGCCCTCAATTTTTGCAATGCAACACAATTTGGCTCCGTTACTTACTGACTCCGAAGGTGATGCGTGCTTCGACATTGGTTCCCCTCTTGAAGTTGCAAGGAAGAGAATTACATCCTGAGATAACCACGCTCTTAGGTGCAGGTTGACCAGAGCAAGTCTGGAAGTTCGATTGCATGGAGTCGGCAACGAAGAACGCTACCAGGATGAATGCTGCACAAAACAAGTTTTATTGCGTTATAATAGATTTGTGGATTGTTTTATGGATACTCGAACAATCGTTATACAGATAAAACGTACACAGTTGTGGATAATCAAAATAGCTCAGATGTTTCAATAAAAGCTGACACTGTAATTTTATGTAATAAATAAAATTGCAAATATACAAAACTGGAAATTACAGCTGTATAATATATTTCCTATTATTTTAATATAGTAATATGTACTAAATTATATAGTAATGTAGTAATATGTACAGTTAGTTGGGACACCCTGTGTGGGGTTTAGAGCATTTATCCACGATACTGAAATATTATCACTATAACACTATGTTAAAATATCGAGAACATTAAAATGTTGAAAATGTATATTAATCTTCAGAGTCCATTATATATGTTGTCACTCATAACACTATTAATATAGAAATGTAACATAAAGTACACTGAAATATAATTGTAAATATAATATAAAAAAAATATGAGCAAAGTGTACCAAAGGGCAGAAAGCCATTACATACCGTAAGTAAGGTAAGCCATTTTGCTGATGTGGATGTCGCTGTTTCGGATGCTGACAACTGTGACTGATTCCGAATTCCACCAACGTATTTATTGGCCCGTGCTATCTAATCGAATAGCGATCAAAAAACGTGATGTCGTAATCGCCGTTTTGAAACACTTCAGATGCACACCTGATCATTCAAAGAGTCCACCTGCACGATAGATAAAAAGTATTAGACAAAATACTCTACTCCGATAGTGTTTACGCGTCACTTAGAAAAATTCTATAATTGTTCGATAAATTGAATTTGCGCAGGTGGCTCGGGAAATTAGTTGCATTACGTCGAGTCCTGTGATTTCTTGTCATGGTAGATAATTATTTATCGGGAGTTCATAATTGTGATACACGTAAATCGAGGAATTCAGTTAAAAATATCCGCACGTGGATAGATAAGCTTTCAGGTGGCACAGTTTACAATTTTTAATCTTGGGTATCTGAAAAAGTCTTGATTCGAATCTCACAAGGAAACATATCGAACCGCGACACACCGGTTTTGATGAAACTTATGTGAAAGATAGTTCTCAAGAAAATATTTGACAGGTATTTTTTTTATCGGCCATCGTTCGCATTGAAGGGGTGAAAATAGCCCTCGAAGTTGGGGGTTGAAATAATATTTTTGGGAATATCTCCGGAATTAAAGAAGATAATTGAATTCTTTTTTTTTTGTAAATTGTTCGTCTTTAATAGGAGAAGTTTCATTAAAATCGGTGTGGCGCGGTTCGATATGTTTCCTTGTTAGATTTGATTATTTTATTACGTCATTGTAGGGCGAAAACCTATCAAAATTTGTATCTATTTCAAAAATAGATATTTCAATAGTTCAGCAATGGTCAGGTTTTAAAATCAGAGTACTTTTTGATATAGGTATCTTTTAATTCTAATTTTGCTGTTATCAGTATTAATATATTTATAGTAGTAATACCAAGTTTTAATAATTATCATTACAGTTAAATCATTTTCTAATTCTAACAGGGTACAAGTGTAATTATAAATGATAAAATCTTGTAAACAAAAATGTCTATACGACTAAGACTATGACGAATTTGTTGAACTTCAGTAATGAGAGATCGTTGTTGATAACCACGTGTGATCGATTTCTTCCATTTGAACCAGGTGTTCCAATGCAGGTGTTGAGTTAACCAGGAATTAACGATTATTCGTCATTCAGACGGCTGGCAATCGCAATCTTAATCGAAGGCAGTTCAGTCAAGACATTCGTCCGTGCGGTCGCGATTTTCCTGAAAACAATTGAAGAGTAAGCTGTTAGAATCTCAACTTGTTTTGTTCAAAATTGTCTAATTAATTTTTGACTTCTCAATTTTAAAGCAACAATTTTACTTCATATATTTTACTTTACAAGCTCTTGAAATCTTTACCGTACTATATTTTATATTTTCGTAACTTTGACAGATTAATTTATTTACGCAACGTCGACGAATTAAGTTATCTAACTCGTGTCCTTGATTAGTATAATTCAGAGCTATACTAAAGTCAGGATGTCCTCAAAGAAGGAGTTAGGACAAGAAAGGATTCGACAGCTAATAAAACGAGCTCCTGTGGGACGTGTTTCTTTTGGAATTTCGAACTATGTTTCCCTACGAGACAGTAAGCTCGTAACGCGAATCTAGACAACGTGATAAGCTTGCAAAGTCGTGTGTGATTCAACTACGATACCTGAGGGCCTCGATATGGCTCTCAAGTTTTTCCCTATAGGTGGGAAAGGTTTTACACTTGCTGGAGAAACTCGGAAAAAGCTTAGAAGTAACTTAGAGTACTTAGGTATCTTTAATATGTTTATTACTGGTTTCATGATCTAACTTGTGTAACAAATTTAATTTCGAATTAATATATTGCCATATATTAAACATAAATTGTATCAAACATATGTTATTTACTTATTGGTAAAAAACATTTATATACATCCTCCAATTATTCTTATTTTCAGCTTCTGTTTTATATATTCAAATAAAATGATCAAGTGTTTCCTCTTGGATTGGTCCTGGGCCCTTCCACGGAGGTCCTCGAACAAATTTCAGGACCAGCATATCGCTGAGACACGTGGGGGTGATCGCAAACAACGCGTGGTAAATAAAATATCTCCACGACTCGTTTCTGAAACAAGGTTCCGATTAATTAATAACGCTCCTCTAACGTTGATTGGAGATAGCTCCAGGCAGATAATGATCCCCGTATTAAACGAAGAATGCGGTAGCGTAAGCTGTTTTGAACTTGTGCAAGCGAATAGTTTAGTCAACACTTTCATTCCTGTGGTCACGGTTTCGGCTCGTAACAATCGGAGAATTGTTTACGTTTTCAGAAACTTGCGGATCGTTTCAAGAAATTTTACGGATCACGTTTTATCGGAATATCTCAACTTTTCGATAATACTGAAAGTGTTGATAAAATTATTCAAATAGAGAACGTACTTGTAAATCGCTGATGGATACTTGTCGAGGAGAGCACCTTCGAATATTTTGTAGATCCGCGAATCTTGCAGCTTTTCCAATTTTGACCCTTGCGTCACGGACGTGAAGTATTGAAAATAGCTGCTTAAATAATCGCCGTAAAAGCTTTGTGCTTCCTTAGGCATCGAGTCTAACATTTCCTGCGTGTGTTCCGTTTGGCGTGCCATTATGTTGCTCTCCCCTATGAAGGAACCTGCAACATGCAAATTTATTACTTATCTGTGTAGTTTTTATCTTGTAAAAATTTGGAAATTTGAGGATTTGAAAAATTGAAGAATTTGAGGATTTTGTAGATACTAATTTATAAATTTAAAAGTTCTAAGTAACTAACTTAGAAAGTTAGAAATTTAAAAAACTGAAGGTTTGTGAATTTGAAAATTTTTATATTTTTAAACTTGTAACCTCAGCAATTTGAAAATTTCTAGATATCTAACATAAGTCTAATTTCACTATTAAGTCTAGTCTAACAACAAGTTCACCATAATTTCAGCCAAATTATATCAACATAATCCTTATAGATCCAGCCATTGTATCACCATACATAGCTCCCTCTATATGGCCACTTTCAATAATATTTCCTTTTCAAAATTATAACAAAAATCGACTATATTTCTACCTCTATTTTTTAAACAAATAACCTCAAGTTTATACAGCTCTACTAACCAGGAATAAAGCAAACGACCTTGACGCCATATTTTTTCACCTCCAACCTAAGGGCTCTCGCCCAGGCAGTGAGTCCAGCCTTCGTTCCACTGTAAGTCGCAACTCCAGGAATGGGCTGGATGTTACAATGGCTCGAAATTACGATAATCCTGCTAGAATGAGCGCGGATTATCGGCATCAGTTCTCGAGTGACTCTCATAGACCCTAGTAAGTTCACTTCCACTTGATTTTTGATCTGCTCGTCCGTTTGCCATTCGAATTCTCCGAAGATCATCACAGCGGCGTTATTGATCAAACATCGTAACTCTAAACAGATTCCAGAATGATCTATTTATCGATCGAGCCTTAATCTTTGTATAAAAGATGGTTGGGTATATCTTTGAATTGCGTACCTAAATTTTCTTCGCTTAATAACATTTGTACGGAGGTGGCGAAATGTGAGACATTTTGGGGTTTCGTAACATCGAGGGAGTAAACAAACACACCCTCCTGTAGTAGCTTCGAAGCACCGGGTCCATTGATTTGCAACACGCTGGCAATTACGGTTGCTCCGAGCTGTCGACAATGTAGAGCCAAACTGTATCCTAATCCCGAATCGCAACCGATTATGATAATAGCTTGATTCGGGGATATTTTGTCCCGAGACTTGACGCGACAGTACAAGTACGTTCCACCTGCAATATAAGCGTTTTGATATTAATTGATTGCTTGAAAAAGTCTTACATTCATACTCTTGGATGTAATATGCCTTATAAAGTATTCTGCTTGTATTATGAATCTTTATATTGTGCTCTTCAGTTTTATCCACGTTCCGCAAGTAGTACTTCTGTCCTCATCTAGCGGTGAGTATGGAAGGTCAACAAAGTAGAAAACTACCTCTTTTTCTAAATAAAGAAACTTCAGAAAACCATCATGCTCCAATATTTTGCTAATGACTAAATTTTGTTACGTTCTTTCTTGCGAGAAGATATCTGAGAATTTTTGACAACTCAAAAGAAAACGCCACCTAGCGGTAGAAAGCGGGAACTAATTAAATTACAGTTTCAAAAGTGCGTAGTTCACCCTGTTCGCCGGAGAGATGGCGCTACTTGTTCAATTTTTATAAAAATTCGATTTTATTGATAATTATGCTATATATTTATCGTATATTTATTAATATTGACTTTCTACTGTTTGCAATATATTCCGTGGGTCCGAAAATGCATTGGTAATATATTTAAAAAATTAGCGGGTAATTTGAATACCATATCGTAGCACTTGAAATTCAAACGAATATGTCAAACGAATTCATCAAAATCATTCTTGTATTTATTTTCTATTTGAATACAAATAATATTTAAAGGCAGTTGTTTACTTTTTACAGAAATAGAGTATTATTTTGTATAAGATATGTTTGTTAATAAACGAATAACAAATTCAATTTTGAAGTTGCAATATCCTTACCAATATAACATAGGGACACGGTCGGTAGCAGATACTTGTATCCTCTGTTCCATAAATGAACCAGGCCAATTGCAGCAGTTAAATCAACTGTGAGTATTGTAAAGTTCCTTTTTACACACTTTGTTAATTTACTGTTCATCACAGATCCCACTAATCCCATCGTTAATTTATTTATTTATCATTCAATCAAAATACTTATTTTCTAATTTACCGGTTTCTGCTGTAGTGTGTTATAGTTTCATACTGCAAAACAAAACTGACATTCGATAGCGCTTACAAAACGCTTGTGTAGCACAAACAAAATTCGAATTACACGTTATCGTGATATGTCTGTTTACTAATAAAGAAGAGTGTTCTTTGTTACAGTTTAAAAATAAAACACGTGTTTGTGTATTAATGTATGGATTTACATAAATCGTTAACTTGATTAGTATTTGATGAATAATAAGTATGCAAAAATTGAACGGAGATAGGCACTTGAGACGAAACGATGGTGTCCTTGTCCTGATCACAAATGGCTGCTATGGAACACGAAAAAAGAAACAGTTAAATCTCCCCACTCTTCCGCCATCGATTGTGATCATCTTTTTTGAAATTTAAACAGAGAACGATATGTTTCGACGCTTTAAAATGCCCATGGATTAAGTGTTTTCTTTTTTTTATGGAATACCTCAACTTTAGAGGTGACTCGAGATACTACTCTATGCTGTTAAGAGGTTTTAATATTTCATGAACAAATATTTCCCGCATCAGTCGCTAGACTCCTGCTTGAATTGTAAATGCTGTCACGCTTCACAAGAGTAAATGGAATGCAGTACATTTCCTAACTTCCACTACTCTTACAATGCTGTTTCACACAAATAAAAAAATTAATATTACACTAGAATTATGTTTCTTTAATGAGTATATATAATTCTAATTACTTCCAAGAGGTGGGAAATATTAAAATTAATAGGAAGGAAATGACAATTAGGAATATTGCAATACTGTTACAAATTTACTTACTTGCTATTTGAAAACAAATAAATTAGCGTTTCTAATTAAAATCACTATCACAATTACAAAATTTTCTCAATATACAATTCACTCCTACTGCAATGGAATTGACAAATGATTTTTCGGTTTTCATCCTTCGTACGTAATAGTAAAAAAAGTATGGTTTATATGTAATTATAATGCATAGTTTTTTGAAAATTTGTAAGTCTTGCAAAGTGAAATATACAGCTTAATATTAAGGCATACTTTACATAAAAATTAACAAATCGTAAGGCTAGCAGTACACTGTATCTTAAGCTAATTCTTCTTTCAAAACAAAATCATGCTTCAGTCGATACATATTCCCTTGACTGTGGTTGACAATTATTTCGCTATCTTACAAACATTTGTTATTACTTCCACGTGTTATACCTTTCATGTATCCATTCCTTTCCACTGTTCCTTTGAAAGCAGGGAGTGTATTAAATACCAGCCTGTTTATCGGCTACTCTAACATTAGGATTCGCGTCCAGATCGTAAGTGGGATCGCCATCCGTAGCCATCCTCCCGAGCCAGGAGAATAAAATTACAATTCCCGTAAAAGCTAATATTCCCATAAGAACTATCATGGCGTATCTTTTGTACAATGGCCCAGTCGTGTTTCTACGTCTCGTTGGTGGACTTGCTATAAGCTTCCACCACCTCAAAAACCATTCGATAGCCGACTTTCTTCTGTATTTATTTTCATCGTGATCAAACGATATCTCTTTCGGATCGTCGTACGCTTCGCAAACTTTTCTCGAAGTAGGAGTCGATAAACCCCCGGATGAATCAATACTTACAATCGAATACGGAGGGCCAATTTTTTGATTATTTAAATGCACATTGTTTATATTAGTGTGTACTGAATTTGCATTACTATTGGAACGAGATGTGGCTACTGTTGGAGACAAATTTGTTGTATGATTTTGATATGATGTAGTTTCAACTCTCAATGAGGGACGCTCCTGTTCTGGCTTTTGTTCTCTTTCTTCGCTGAGCTAGAACACAAAATATATAGAATAAGTAAATGTATATAGAAAATTTTATATACAATCATTTATCATATATACCAAAGGTAAGCCAAGCCCTGCACGTGCCCAATTGACACTTCCTAATTTTTCTCTCAACACATCTGCCACAGGAGATACTAGTTTTCCATCTGGAAAAATACACTCTTTACAATTGGGACATGTGTATCCTGCTGGTGCTGTCGTTGCTGGCAGTTCTCTGGCATATTTATCCAAACATGCCCAATGAAACATATCATAGCATGTTAATCGAACACAATCTCCTTCGCTCAAGTTCACAGAACATAATGTGCAAACTGGATTATAGTCATGATCGTGGAGCCACAAAATATATGATTGTACAATGCACTGAAATAAATAAAAATAAAGGCAGTGTTAGTAAAATATTTAAACAGTGTTAGTAATTAATTTGATTTGTAATATTAATCTCTTAACCTATCGGTGTCGATCAAATTTATTTTTTATGAGTAAACGTACACTTCACGAATTTTTTATTAAGAATAAATAATATACCTTCGGATGATTTGTAACCATACAATGCTCACAAACATTAACACGGTGTTCAAAACAAAACAGATTTGTGACTCTCCTTTTCGGACACTTGCACAGCCCCATATTTTCATGAAATTACGCGATTAATACAATAAATAAATTACAACAACATGTAATGAAAACCTATTTAATTAAGAAAATTGTTACGAAGGAATATCTTCACATGACATATCGTGATCTTATGACAACTTGAGGTGTACGATGTGACACGGCTTCCATCTTTCATCGGCCACGTCGTCCAACATTTTCTGTGAAAGATACAAAAGAATGGACCAATCAAATTTCTCCATTTCTACGGTCAACAAATAAACAATCTCTTTTACAAAAGATTTGCATTGCACTATTTATCCAAGTGCATAGAAAACTGTTTTCGGTAAAAAGAAATTTTTAAACAAATAATTCTGTGAAGTACTTTTTTAATATAAAATTTCATTCTAACCAAATAATCTCATGTACATTATAATTATTATCAGAGTTCTTGTTTATAATTCAAAATTTTTATGGTAAAAGAAAGATAAGAAAATGTGTAAAGTTTATGTGTAGAAACCTTCTATATGCAGGTATGATAAAACAGGAATGTTTGATAAGTAAGTTTTCTGTTTCACCAGATTCTCTGTTCACTGCTAGGTAGCAGCAGCTATACAATTTTTAACCATTCATTGATATATGTAAAACTAAAAAATGTGTCAAAATAATACTGAAGCATGGGAGCCTTCATTATCAATATAAGGAAAAGCGGGCAACTTCAAGATTTCAATCAGTAAATTTGTTAATTTATAGACTTTCAAATCTAAAAAATTAGAACCTTTCAAATTCATAACTTTTAAATGTTAGAATTTAAAACTGAAAAAATTTAGATTCAGAAATTATGAAAGTTGCGGACTTAGAAATTTTTTAATTTGTATATTTGATTCTTAAAAAGGTAAGTCCTTTGAGACCTCTTAAATCAAAGGAAGTCTACGTTATTTTTATGAAAAATCTAGAGTATTTTTTCTTATTCAAAACAGTATATAATATTTGATAATTGTATCTGCATCATTGAATGCTCCGTACAACAGATATCAGCTGTACGTGAATCACAGTATGTATTAAGAAAAGAGTGAACATAAAAAAAATTGTTTAATTAGTAAGCTAACAACATAAAACTCCTTGAAAAATTAAATCAAGTGTAAGATGCTTACTTGTACGCGTTCAAAGGAACTTTATGCAGATTTCTTGCGAATTACGCAACATTACGAAATCTCTAATTTTACGTAACGTGTTATGCTAGTGTATACGCTATAAAGTGGAGACTTATTACTATACATGTATCACGATAGGACCCTCTCAAACTGCGTAAAAGGATAATTGTATTGCGTAAAAAAAAGACGTAAACCTGTGCAGTGGCTCCCTCTGTTCAAATTGTTACAACTTGAGCTTTCAAGGTTATCTGGCTCTTACATCTAATAAACATCGTTATTACTTCCTAATTGTATCGATATTTTACAGTAATTGCAAAGGAGGAGTACTTTATCATTCAATGCTGCGGTCACTTTAATGTAGTTTGAAAATACTTATCTTCTTTACGTTAAGTACATGGCTGCATTATGTAATAAAATTTGTCGGACAATATTTTTAAAGTCATTATTTCAAACATGCAAAGTATTTAAGATATTGAAAATGTGTATGAAGGTTAAGGTTGATAATTTAGACACAATTCATTTTCTATTAAGTATATATATTCACTTGTACGATTGTAGATTAATTTTTACAATATAAACTGTTAAAAGTAATACATTATACGTGTTTAAGACAAGTTTATTAAAATATATATATAATTTATATTAATGAATTACAGAATCTCGAAGGTACGTTCTCAGACGTGAATGAAGCACTCGCTACAAGGGGGAAGCACTGTCAGCAGTGTCTAAAATGGCGGGTGTGCTGTTCGAGGATATTTTCAACGTGAAAGACATCGATCCAGAGGGGAAGAAGTTCGACAGAGGTAGGTCTGAAACGTACTTTATACTGTCATGTATTTATGTGAACACTTCTGAGGGAAAATACTTGGCGTCGTCGAATTTTTAAATGTTAAAAACAGAACGTTCCATGGACGTTCGTCGTTTACGGAAGTTGCCGGGAAGCACATGGCGTGACAGTTTGATTTAAACGTTGGTTTCTGCACATACATTTGTTAAATAATTATTACGATTGATCTGTATGAGTAGATCGTCTGGTATGTGGTATTTGTTCATTTATGAAAATCGTGAATAATCTTTTAGAACGTTCTAAATTGTATTCGTCATTTCTTGTCTCTTGTCTTCTGCGATGGCGCGTAATTTGAAACGTAAATATTGGTAGAGGAATCGTGTCGTATTAATAATAATTGTTTGTACTCGAAAAAAATATTGTTTGTGACAGAAAGATTAACTCTGAAATAGACTTTCAAATTCTGGTAATTAAAATTACAAATATAGTCCTTTATATAATTTGTTTTACTACAACCTTGCTCAGGGACATATAGCCACTATAATTTAACAGATCATACTGCGTGATAAAATATCATTCCTTTTTGTGTTTGAATTTTGAATCATGATTAGTCATCAATATGTATTTCTTTCTGGCACAATCTACAAGTCCATATGCCGCATAAAATTTATTATTTCGTGACACGGAAAAGTTTGTTGAAACAGTCACTAATTGAACGCCACGCGTGTTTCTTGTCAACATGCATTGCTCACCTAATCGTTGCCTCTTATCGACATTCCATTCTCTGCACGATGAAAAATGGTGACAATACCTTTTTTTACGAGTCCCCATATAATAATTGTATACACGAATAACTGTTTACGAAAAGATACGAATTCCTTTTTTTGCAACGTCGACAAATTCGTATAAAGATAATTTCGAAGTAAATACTGAAGTTAATGCACTTCAGTATTTTCAATCATATTTTATGTTTACGGTAATTCTTCGTGCCTTTTAATCTTTATCGTTGCGGGAAGTTCGTACGTTCAAGGTCATTTAAAAATTGATACTCATACCAGAATAATGCGTCATTGACGTTATACAACAGCATTTTAACGCACATGCTAAATCTAATTTTAAGAATGTAGTTTTAAAGTGAAACAGTGTTATTTTATAATAGAATCGGTAACAATTGCGGTAGTTTTCAATATGGGGTAAAGAGACATCAAGGACATAGAAATCTGGAGTTTAAAAAATTGTAAGATTTGGAAATATTAGAGTTGAAAATTTCTTAAGCCGAGTTGAGGAAGGTTAGTCGGTATTTTGGGGGTCAGACCCACCCTGTTCCTTACCCAATTACCCCATTGGCTGTCGAGTGCCCTTGAACATATAGATTCAATGAAACTACCACGTGTCCAAAGAATTACCAGATTCAAATTTCGCGCGTATTCGCGTCTACATACATCGGGCACACTCTTGTCACTTCACTGTCTACACCCGCGAACATTTTCCATGTTTCATCGCGACGATCGATGTTCCCGAGATGGCGATGTAATTCGCATAAAACGCGCGGAGAGTTGCTCGCGTCACCCTGTATTTTCACCTATATTATCGCCGGGGAAAGGGTTCTGCTGGAACAGCAGCAGCAGCGTTCCACGCGGATGGGTGTTAGTGGGGCCAACTACGAAAGAGAGAGCGAGAGGAAAGACGGGATCTCGGTTAGCAGAGAAGAGGAGGCATCGTTAGGTTTGGGAAAAGAAGAGTGGGGTGACGGGAACAGCTCCGTGTCAGGCTGAAGCATGGAGGCAGTAACGCCGTTAGCGCCGGGCAAACGGGGCACTTGCCCCGGGCGCTCCAAGACCTTTCTCATTTTCTAATAATTAAACCGACCATTTTTATTCTTAATTTACTTTTATGCTAATTTATGACTTGAATGTTTTGTACGTTCTTTTCCAACAGATTAATCGAGCTCCACGCGATCGTAGATCCAAGTTGCAGGTTCGAAACTTCCGTCGTATTGGAGGTGCTACATTCTCGTTTCCTTTAGACCCGATAATTCACTTTAGGAGATAACGTATTGTGTCTTGATCCTAGGTGTATTGGTACATACGTGAAATTGTAAGATAACTTGAAGAATGAGGATCACGTTTAGCATAGCTAGGATTTTGTATTATGAGGTAGATTCTGACATAGTCAATTTTTTTGAGATGCGTTTGAAGAGAATTTTTCAAACATATCACATGATATGTTCATGTCAACATGACGCAATACCATTTCAAATATGATAAACGTATACATAAGTTTTTTAATTCTGCCAAAATAGTGCTACTACGACTGATCAAATTCTTTTCAACTACATTTCCACGTACAATGCACAAATCGTACAAGCAACGAGCTCGAAATTGCTGTCGTTTTAACCTTGCCCGATCGCATCCCGGGCCACTCGGTCTCTTTCGCATCGGAAATATTCGCCGTCATTATTCCTGTCGACTTTCACCGAACGCGGATAGACGTTTATATATGTAGGTATATAGAATAAAAGGGCGGTGGGACGCGATCCGGCGGCAGCAGCGAGCTGTGTCGCGGGCTGCTCGAAGGGCGGGTCGGGGCGAGG